GAGAACGGATACGGGGGGGGCGGTTTTTTTTTTTTTTAAGGGAAGAGGGTACCCTCCCCCGCGCCCAGGCACGAAACCGAGCCGAGCCTCCTCAGCCGCTACTTCCGGCTTCCTCAGACACGTCAGCTCGCGCACACGGAACTGCGAGGCACGAAGTTCGTGCGTGCGCGCGCGCGAAGGAGCGAGCCGAATCGCTTCCGCCCTCTTTCTCGCCCTTCTGCCCCGGTTGCCATAGAAACGGCAGGATGAGGCGGCTCCCCACAGGGCAGGCCTTTTGGGCCTAGCGCGGCCTGCCGCGTCCTTTGAAAACACGTCATTCGGACGGCAGGGCATGTTTAATAGGCGGGCAGCCTGGTGTCCTGACGTTATAGAGTTAACAGGCTAAAGCTGGGGAGAGACCCCGGTTCCAGGCCCCGTGAAGAGTACTTGGGTGACTTTGGGCCAGCTGCTCTCTCAGCCCAGCCTAGCCTGCCTCGCAGGGTTGTTGTGAGGATAAAGTTGTGCAGGTGAGGGGGGGAGGAAACTATGCTCATTGGCTTCACTCCTTGGTGGGATGTAAATACAGTTCGTACATAATAATAATAATAATAATAAATTTTATTTATATCCCGCCCTCCCCAGCCGAGCCGGGCTCAGGGCGGCTAACAACAGTCAAATAACGATCAAATAATAACACATTCTAAAAATATTTCATTATAAAAATTAGTTAAAATCAAATTGATGGCAACCGATTAAACAAAATTCTGTGCAGGTTGCCGGAGGAGGGAGTCAGGCTGCGCCCTGCCCAAAAGCTTGGCGGAACAACTCTGTCTTGCAGGCCCTGCGGAAAGATGTCAGATCCCGCAGGGCCCTAGTCTCTTGTGACAGAGCATTCCACCAGGTTGGAGCTGCAGCCGAGAAGGCCCTGGCTCTAGTTGAGGCCAGCCTAACCTCTCTGAGGCCTGGGACCTTGAGGGTGTTATTATTTGTAGACCGTAGGTTTCTCTGTGGGGCATACCAGGAGAGGCGGTCCCGTAGGTACGAGGGTCCTAGGCCGTATAGGGCTTTAAAGGTTAAAACCAGCACCTTAAACCTGATCCTGTACTCCACCGGGAGCCAGTGCAGCTGGTATAGCACCGGATGAATGTGATCCCGCAGCGAAGACCCCGTAAGGAGTCTCGCTGCGGCATTCTGCACCCGCTGGAGTTTCTGGGTCAGTCTCAAGGGCAGCCCCACGTAAAGCGAGTTACAATAATCCAGTCTGGAGGTGACCGTCGCATGGATCACAGTGGCTAGGTCAGGGCGAGAGAGATAAGGGGCCAACTGCTTAGCTTGGCGGAGATGGAAAAATGCCGCCTTTGTTATAGCTGTAATCTGCGCCTCCATAGAAAGGGAGGTATCGAAGATTACACCCAAACTCTTAACGGACGGTGCTGGCACTAATTGCACCCCCGCAAGAGATGGGAGTTGCCCCCTCGATCCCATATCGTCCCGCCCCAGCCAGAGGACCTCTGTCTTCGAAGGATTTAACTTCAACCGGCTCCCACGTAACCATCCAGCCACAGCTTCCAGACATCTGGTCAGTGTGTCTGGGGCCGAGTTAGGATGGCCATCCATCAACAGATAGAGTTGGGTGTCATCAGCATACTGATGGCAACCCAGCCCAAAACTCCGGACAAGCTGGGCGAGGGGGCGCATAAAGATGTTAAAAAGCATCGGGGAGAGAATCGCACCCTGAGGCACTCCACACACCAAGGAGTGACGCGATGACAATTCCCCCCCAAGCGCCACCCTCTGTCCCCGATCAGAGAGAAACGAGCGCAGCCATTGAAGGACTGTGCCCTGGATCCCCACGTCGGCAAGGCGGTGGTCCAGGAGTTCGTGATCCACCATGTCAAAGGCTGCTGACAGATCTAGAAGAATCAGCAGCCCCGACCCGCCTCGATCCAGCTGCCTGCGGAGATCATCTGTTAGGGCGACCAGAGCCGTCTCGGTCCCATGACCAGCACGGAAGCCGGACTGGAATGGATCCAAAGCAGATGTTTCATCCAGAAACCTACCAAGCTGTTCAGCAACCGCTCTCTCAATCACCTTACCCAGGAATGGAAGGTTCGAGACCGGGCGGTAATTGGATAGATCTAAGGGATCTAACGATGTTTTCTTTAAGAGCGGGCGCACCACCGCCTCCTTCAGTTCCCCTGGGAATATCCCGGTGCCAAGGGACAAATTGATGATATCCCCCAGGGGGGCCCGCACCTCGTCTGGACACGCTCTAATCAGCCATGACGGGCACGGGTCAAGAGGGCAGGTGGTGGGCTTTCCAGCTTGGAGGAATCTGTCCACATCGGCTGGAGATATCCGGTCAAAGTGGTCCAATACTGGACCCGAGGACAGTCGAGGGGCCTCCAGTTCCTTTATTGTATCCAAATTGGCAAGGAGGTCATGGCGGAGCAACAGGACCTTCTCCGCAAAAAAGCTCGCAAATGCCTCACAGCTGTGTGTCAGATTGTTATTTAAATTTGGCTGTCCTTCAAGGGACGTTAATGACCGGATTATACTAAATAATTGCGCCGGGCGAGAGCTAGCGGATGCAATGGAGGCCGAGAAGTAAGACTTCTTAGCGGCCTTCACTGCCATCTCATAGGTTTTCATAAAAACCCTATAAGATGTTCTTGAGGCTCCGTCACGGGCACCCCGCCATACTCGCTCTAGCCGTCTGAGGTCCCGCTTCATTTTCCGAAGCTCCTCGGTAAACCAGGGAGCCCGGTTTCTGCGGGGTCGCAGAGGGCGCTTAGGTGCGATCTCATCGATGGCTGCCAGGAGCTGGGTATTCCAGCCCTCAACAAGCTCAGTCAATGAGTCGCCAGGGGGAGCAAGGTCCCGCAAGGCTTGACGGAATCTATCAGGGTCCATCAGCCTCTGCGGGCGAGCCCAAATCGGCTCGCCACCTAAGCAGGGTGGGGGTGGAAAGTCAATCCTGGCTTTCAGAGCGTAGTGATCAGACCATGGCACCTTCATCGAGGGAGACATGATCACATCTATACCGGCGCCAAAGATCAAATCCAGCGTGTGGCCTGCTTGATGTGTGGGGCCCGAAACAAACTGGGAGAGCCCTAGTGTCGCCATGGAAGACACCAGGTCCAGAGCCTGTGAGGAGGGAGTGGCATCAGCATGGATGTTGAAGTCCCCCAGTACCAATAGGTTGGGGAACTCCAAGGCCCAGCCGGCCACCGCCTCCAACAGGCCTGACAGGGTGGCTGCTGGTGCGCTAGGTGGCCGGTACACCAGCCAGACAGCCAAGCTCACCTCGGAGCCCCACACTAGGCCAACACATTCAATGCCGGGGATCGACATGAAAACAATAATATTCGCAGGTGCCTTATATGCATATTCCTGAAAGTGCTCCCAGATTAACTGACATGTTAAGCAATGGACCATCACAGAACATGTAAAGGTAAAGGTACCCCTGCCCGTACGGGCCAGTCTTGACAGACTCTAGGGTTGTGCGCCCATCTCACTTAAGAGGCCGGGGGCCAGCGCTGTCCGGAGACACTTCCGGGTCACGTGGCCAGCATGACAAAGCTGCATCTGGCGAGCCAGCGCAGCACACGGAAACGCCGTTTACCTTCCCGCCAGTAAGCGGTCCCTATTTATCTACTTGCACCCGGGAGTGCTTTTGAACTGCTAGGTTGGCAGGCGCTGGGACCGAGCAACGGGAGCGCACCCCACCGCGGGGATTCGAACTGCCGACCTTTCGATCTGCAAGCCCTAGGCGCTGAGGCTTTTACCCACAGCGCCACCCGCGTCCATCACAGAACATGAGCAGCAGTTAAAAGCGAAAACAGTAACAGAACTTCTGAGAGTCCTGGGCAAAATCATCATCAGATATCTGAAGACAGCCCTGTTTAGGGAAGTTTTTAATGTTTGATGTTTTATTGTGTTTTTAATATTCTGTTGGGAGCCACCCAGAGTGGCTGGGGTATAAATAATAATGGGTGAGGTATAATAATAATAATATTTATCATCCTCTTTAATCTGGCACTAAGATCATAGAGTTTCTATTAGGCAAGCTTGTCCAGTGATGAAATTTCAAAGACAGGAGGCCACTATTGAAAAGGCCCCGTATCGCATGTCAGCACCTGTCGTACCTTGGATAGTAGTGGCATGCAAAAAAACTACCCTGAGGACCAGATCAATTTATGTGGTTACAAGTCCTTGAGGCACACTGGTCCTAAGCCATATGAGATTTTGTTTTGCTTTTGTTAAAGCATTTCAGAACCACTTAGGAACACAGTTAATTTATACTGAGTCGGTACCAACAGTTCATCTGATTGAAAAGCTGCCTATAAGCTTATACACTTGCCTCAAGACTTCTTCAAAGAAACAGAACACAATTTTCTGTGTTCCGACGTCTAAGGATCACAGCAAACAAAGCTGTAATTGTTAGGTCGCTTACTAGGAACATAGAAAAGACCATTATAGTCAGACCATTCGTCTATCTAGCGTAGTATTGTTTTCACAGACTAGCAGTGGGACTTCAGGGTTTCAAGCAGCAGACATTTCCAGCCCTACCTGGATAAGTCAAGGATAGAAGTTAGGACCTTTTGCATGCAAAGCAGGTGCTCTACCACTGAGCTATAGTCCTTCTCTACTCACTTCAGAGTACATATGCTTAGAATTCTGCAATTAGAATATTTGTACAACTGCAAAGACCAGTCTAGATACACCAAGAATGGGGAACATGTGGTCCTTCACATGCTGGACTCCATGCTAGATGGACCAATGATCTGAATTATTAAGGTAACTTCCTACATCTCATTCTTGCTTAATAACTGCTTTATTGAATTAGGCCAAGGTCCACCTTGTCTAGCATAATTTGCAAAAATCTAACAAAAAGGCACTCAGTTTCTAGCAGAATTTAGCCAACATATGAAGCCAGGTCTGCCTATTACAATACCATCCAGGAAATGCAGGAGGAAGGTTTTTTTTTTTAAGACAATAAACTGAAATTACAAAGTACATATGGGTCAAACAATTTTTATGTGTCAATACATTTCATATATTTTTACAGCCGGAAGTTATAAAAACACAATAAGCCAGGTGTTTAAATACATATTCAGCATGGTTTTGATGCTTTTGCTTTGCACGGCATACAAGTACTTCACATAAAATAGCAGAAGACCAGTAGCTTTACAGTAAACTGTATAATATTTTTACTTGTAGAAAAGGGAGACAGATTCTGGACATTAGATATTGGTATCCATATCCACTGTGGGCATCACTGCAGAATGTCGTTTCCTACTTCTGCTCAAAAACAAAAGAAGGAAACGCACAATTATGACAAGTTATGGAGAAACTGAAAAAAAGCAACAAAAATTAAACACACCATTGCTTGGATCATGTTTAACTACCATATAGCCAAGCCCATCCCAACATCTAGTAAAATAATCAAGCCCATCCCTAAGAAAGCAATGGTATTCTTCAACAAAACAAGTCCTTCTGGTTTTATGTGGGTAAACTAAGCTGATACATAGGATGAGACTCAAAAAGCAAGAACAGAAGAACTAATATATTCCTCTAAGTATTGACAAATTATGTAAGAGTCAAATCTCCCCACCTAATAAATAAATAAATCAAGCTCTCAGCCCAGGTGAATATGGGGAAAAATAAAAGTGATTAAATAGATTCCTTTGCAGTGGGAAAAACCCACTATCTACTGTACTGTTGCTGGTGTTACGAGTTTTTGGGGTGCCTGGACTCAACGTCTAATTCTTAGGTGCAAGCACTGGATTTAGAAAAGTGTTAAAACACAGGTGGAACCAATTTCCCGTGTTCAGGAGATCGCCTGAGAGATGGGCCATTAACAGAGAACAAAGACAGGGAGGTGGGATATCAGCAAAGCAAAGACTCTGTTCCGGCCAGCAAATGGGGGAAGTCCATCTCTGAGCTCTGAGATAGAAGAGCCAATGTATGGTGGAAAGTTTAGGATTGCAATTTGGGAATGATGTGAGCTGGAGAGAGAAAAGTCAGTAAAAATTCTGGAAGCTGTGGAGAGTCAGAGCCATGACTGATGTCTGATTGAATCCCAGGCTACAGCAATGGGAGAAAAGGGGCCCCCTTGGAGTGTTAATGCTATGAGCATCGCAGGCTCAGGTTGTAGACACACACAAACACACACACACACACACACACACACACACACACACACAAATATATAGTAAAGACACCACAGTCTCTGCTGTGCCTCATTTCCAAAGGAAACACAAACCCTAGGTTTGTGTCAGGAACCCCTGAGAATCTTGCACATCTTGAAGATTAGGGTGGTGTGTAACATAATATACAGTCTCTTAATTTTTTTTACCAAGTTATTTCAAACCACAGTTGTCTCTTAAGTTTTCATGCTGTTTTTAACACATTTTAAATTACTTATTGTGAACACAAACATTAGAATACTTGTCAGGGAACTGCCATCAGCTCAGAGGCAAGAGATGGAAGGGCAGTTGTGCTATAGGGAGCCTCCGAAAATCTTGCGAAGCAGTTCCTCTTCCGGTGAGGAGGGAGGCCCCACCTCCAGTGAAGAAGAGGTGCAGGGACCAGGGGATGCTAGGGAGAGCCTCAACACGGAGCCTGAGCAAACCGGATAGGCGGCCAGCGCCCATTCCGCACAGTAGGCTTTGGCGCAGGGAGGGGCAGAAAAGGCTGGGGGTGACGCGACTTTTATGTTGGGGGAGGGGTACAAAAACTGACCACTCCCGGATTCTGCTAGCGATTGAGCCAGACATGAACTTACGACGCTCTGTAAATAGTTTGCACCAAGAATAAAGCCTGTAAAAGACAGGTCGGAGTCCTGCCTGATTACTCTCGAGCAACCACCACATCCTTTGACAATACTGATAAATCTCTCCTCCTACTCAGGGCTTCTTTTGCCCTTTCCCTCTTTGACTATGAGCTCTTTTCCTAGCAAGCTTCCACTTCTCGATCGCCTTGTTTGATCAGCCTCTCTCAATCTTAAAATGGGGGGGGGGGGGTTTGGTAAGGAGCTGAAGATAGTATGATGCAGCATTGTTCATGGTATGCACACATCCCGCCACAGTCTCTTTTAACAGGATTCACAAGGTTTTATAGTATTTCACACAGTGCATGCAAAACCTGCAGGCTCTCCCTATCCCCCAGCATCTGCTGCCCAATGGTAGGGTCGGGCTTACATATACTTTGGCATTCTAACTAGCCTATCTGCAATTCTTCCCCATAAACCTCTGGCTTTCTTTTTTTCTTATTAATAGCCCCAGGCACACAATCACCTCTTAGTCCAGACTGGGTGGGTGGAGAAATAGGTTGCACAAAGGATGGATAAGTATCTACATGGTATCTCTCTTTCCTACAAATGCTCCCCAGTCTCATGTTTGGAAACACACCTTTCCTGAGATAATGTGTTGTTTGTGCACTAGACAGCAAGAACATGAGTTTCCAAGGCATTTAGCCTAACAAGAGAGGTGCTTTTTGCAATAGATGCTAAGAAGGGGTGCAATAAAATGGGCTGCATCAAATGCTTTTAAAATGAGCTAGAACAGATTAATTTGTCCTCAGTTTCCCAACCACTTAAGCAGCTGGCTGGATGCCTTGATTGAGCTCTCAAAAGTATTGTATCGGGAGCAATTAGGTAATTGAGAGGTGGAAAGGTACCAGGAACAGATGGCTTTCCTATTGATTTTTCTAATATATTTTCTGATAAATTGTTCCAGTCATCACCACCCCCTTCTCCCTGGCTTTGAAAATGTGTGGCCATTTTGTCCAAAATATTATCGACAATGGAATAAGCACAATTCTCATAACAATTTCCTAACTGCATCCTGAATCTAGATGTTAAGAATGATATAAACGTTATCCCAGAAGGCTGGAAAGTATCTTCATTTTAAATTATTGTACTTGTCTCCATTCAGTACAATAACTGTGTACCAAATATGCCCTAAAGATTTTCCATATCTAAAACAGTGGTTGGTTTTTAATTTTCTTTCGTCTCACCATAGCCTTCTGAGATTATAAAAAAATGATTTACTTGGATCCTTAAGTGGTTTTTAAAATAATTACTCTTGTTACATCAAACAAGGTTAAGAGGCTGGTGTACTGGGCCCTGGCAGCTGCCTGAGGATGGCTCCCGCTGACATGGAGGCCTCATCTGAGCTGTGTAATATTGGTCAAATTTACAGAATACATGGCATGACTTCTATGAGATAAACCTGCTTGCAGAAGTTGCTACTGCGTCTTCTGCAAGTACTTGTCTCACATTATACTGGTGGGATTGTAAGTAGGCTACAGGATAGTACTGCTGGTGGTGAATAATTGATCTGGGAACTGGACTCTATTTCCTTTCCTTGGGAGTTTTTTTCTGAATGGCGCTCCAGCTAGCAGCGGTGGCTAGCGATCCTTGGATGAGATGGGTCTTCATCTTCCTCCCTTGTGCAAAAATAGTAGGCTCTTAAGCATTGCCGTTTAGGGACGCGGGTGGCGCTGTGGGTTAAACCACAGAGCCTAGGACTTGCCAATCAGAAGGTTGGCGGTTTGAATCCCCGCGACGGGGTGAGCTCCCGTTGCTCGGTCCCTGCTCCTGCCAACCTAGCAGTTCGAAAGCACATCAAAGTGCAAGTAGATAAATAGGTACCACTCTGGCGGGAAGGTAAACGGCATTTCCGTGCGCTGCTCTGGTTCGCCAGGAGCGGCTTAGTCATGCTGGCCACATGACCACTGTACACTGGCTCCCTCGGCCAGTAAAGCGAGATGAGTGCCGCAACCCCAGAGTCGGTCACGACTGGACCTAATGGTCAGGGTTCCCTTTTAAGCATTGCCATTGTATCTTTCTCCCCAGCAGTATTTTATTCGTCAACCGTGTGTACTTCTAGAGATAATATAGTCTGCTATCCTATATGCGAAGGGTGGGAAACATTTAGCCCCCTTGATAATGTTGTTGTTGTTGTTAACTGAATTTATATTCCACCCGATACACGGGGGTCTCAGGGCGGTTCACAGAATAAAATCAAGATATGAAATCATAAAACACCTAATAAAAACAAAAACAACTACAATCCCCATCAGCTCCAGCAAACATGGCAAATGGCGATGGATAATAGGAGTTGTAGTTGAGGGCCAAAAATTACTCGCACGCTGTGCTACGCACACTTACCTGGGAGTTAGTCCCATTGAGCAGAAAAAGCATATATAAAAAGTAAAACACCAGAAAATGTTTTATCCCTTCTCCTGCAATTAGAAATATAGTCTTAAGTTCTGTGCATTGATTGCAACCAAGTATAAAAAGTTATCTGTGGAAATTTAAAGACTATCCGTTCAGATTAACACGCAACTCCCTCACCCTGCCGTTGTTCCGACATGTCCAGAAAAGCACAAGCCTTTTAAATTCTGCATCTGACGGTGCATTCCAGTCAGTGGTAGAACTTGATCTGCAAGGTGTAAGACAGAAGGTGGAAGACTTGGGAGACAAGGTTTCAAGTCCCCCATGAAACTTGGTGAGGCAGCAGGCTGGGGCTGCTGGGAGGAGCAGCAGATCTGAGCCCCCAAGGAATTTGCCACCTGCCGCCTCCTGCCCTTGTCCCCTATCCCCCCTCCACCTCCGCCACAGACACACACCTCCACCTGCTCCTCTCTGGCCTTTTTTCTCCCCTTGTCTCTGGGGCATCTCCAGGCCACTTCCAGTCAAGTCAGGTGGTGGTGGTGGCATAAGGAACAATGACGCATTTTCTATTTTGCCTCAAGCGACAAAACGTCCTGGGCCAGCCCTGCTCAGAGGATTGTTGTGAGGATAACATGGGGAAGAGGAGAACTATGAATGCCACCTTGAGTTCCTTGTAGGAAATAAATGCAATAATAAATGAACAGGAATATTAATAAGAAGCCTATCCCCCAGCCTCTTAAAAAGCAGAGACATCACCTTGCCAACAAAGGTCCATATAGTTAAAGCTATGGTTTTCCCAGTAGTGATGTATGGAAGTGAGAGCTGGACCATAAAGAAGGCTGATCGCCGAAGAATTGATGCTTTTGAATTCTGGTGCTGAAGGAGACTCTTGAGAGTCCCATGGACTGCAAGAAGATCAAACACATCCATTCTTAAGGAAATCAGCCTTGAGTGCTCACTGGAAGGACAGATCGTGAAGCTGAGGCTCCAGTACTTTGGCCACCTCATGAGAAGAGAAGACTCCCTGGAGAAGACACTGATGCTGGGAAAGATGGAGGGTACAAGGAGAAGGGGGCAACAGAGGACCAGATGGTTGGATAGTGTTCTTGAGGCTGCCAATATGAGTTTGACCAAACTGTGGGAGGCAGGAGTGCCTGGCGTGCTCTGGTCCATGGGTTTACGAAGAGTCAAACACATCCATTCTTAAGGAAATCAGCCTTGAGTGCTCACTGGAAGGACAGATCGTGAAGCTGAGGCTCCAGTACTTTGGCCACCTCATGAGAAGAGAAGACTCCCTGGAGAAGACACTGATGCTGGGAAAGATGGAGGGTACAAGGAGAAGGGGGCAACAGAGGACGAGATGGTTGGATAGTGTTCTTGAGGCTGCCAATATGAGTTTGACCAAACTGCGGGAGGCAGGAGTGCCTGGCGTGCTCTGGTCCATGGGTTTACGAAGAGTCGGACACGACTTAATGACTAAACAACAACAAATCCCCCAGCCTGCCTTGATGTAAGGATTAGAGGGCTGTGGGAAATGCAGAACACTTATTTTAATAAAACTTTCAGATTAATTGATAGAGGTTCATATTTGTAAATTAGTATCCGACCTGTGGAACTCTGAAAAAAGATTAAATTGATTTACTGCTTTCTGCTTTTTTCTGTCTTTCTGTCTGCCCTGGTTCACGACAGTGTGCCAAAACAAACACTGAGCCATCAGGCATCAGCTTGGTGCCTTCTTCAGCTCAACAAGCCCTAAGGCTGACCCTAATAATGAATCTGCTTTTTAATAACCGTATCTTTCCCTTTCCAGCAGATGTAACTGGCCATTCAACACTGCACACCTGGCAGTATGGATAAAAGAGCAAGTCATCTACCTTCATTGTAAATTACTGTGATGGGAGAAAGAATGAATCGCCCTTCTTATTTTGATGGCCATTTCTGTGGTTCACTGAACAGCTGCCCTGAGATTTTGTCCTCTTGTAATTAATTAATTGTTCTGGACTGGTTTCCCATTTCATTCCAATACAGATTTATAAATTATTTGCTGTTAGAAAGTGATCCTCTTAAAAGTGTGACTTCTGCACACACCCACTCTCCATTTTGAAGAGAGAAAATTAAAATATAGAGCCATTTCCCCTGCTCCCTTATTTAAGAAAACCTGGATAAGCACCACGCAGGGGAAATCATAAATGCCTGCCATTAGAGACAAAGTCAGAAATGGATTTATGAAAGTATGACGGAGCCTCCTGCCATGAGCACTGATCAGGAAAGCTCTGATGTGCATTATGTTTTCAGTTTGTAAATTAAGTATACTTAACATTTATAGACTCTGACTGCACATGAGACCGTTTTATGATTCTTAAGGTGGAATGGTTCCCTGCTCTCCCTCCTGCACTGCTCTGATAAACCAAAACACATTTCTAATAAACAGGCAGAGAGATTAAAAATAAAGCCACTACTTTTTTTTGTAAGGTGCGCTCCAGACTCATTATAAAAGTTTATCGCCTAAGTAAAGCTGCACTCTTAAAACATTTAAAACCTGCTATGTAAGAGAAGCAATAATTCTGTCTTGACATGTCTTGCCCATGGTATCAGTCTGCGATGTACACTAAGAGCTTTATTTTAAGGAAATCAGCACATAAAAAGTGCATTTGTTCTGAGAACTTCAGAGAACTTCAGACTGGAACACAAAACAAACAGCCCATGGGGATGCATACCCATTTAAAAGGCTCAGTGCCTATATGGGCTACAGCCCTGCATGCAGTTAAAACCTCTTATATCCTGTTTATTTCAGTGCAGTTTATAATACAATCCTTTACAGAGTTGCCTGGGAGTACGTTTTGCTCAGTTTGTAGGGACTTTCTTCCAAGCGAACATGTATAGACTCATACTATTGAGCAACCGACCTTAGTCTATGCACCACAGGTATTGACTTTGTATTGAATTTATGCCCAACAGATCACACATACTCCATCTCTTTGCTAGAGACAATCCCCCCTTTTCTGGTACTAGCCCCTAGTAAAATAATGTGGCCTATTTTGCAGAAATAGCAGAGGTGCCTTTTAAAAATGCCATACATACTGCGTATCTGTATGTTTACCATTTTGAGTTAATAGCAGCTGAGGGAATGACAGGATAACAATGCATATGAGGAAAACAATACAGGGAACAGTTAGCACCCACCCACACGAATTTCCACCCAGGGTTGGGATGGTGAGCAAACAAGCAATAATAATAATAATAATACAGTGCTTTTTTTCAGCTGGAACTCAGTTCCGGCCATCTCTGGTGGACGCCATTGTCATTATTAGAGAATAAGAGAGGCATTCATGGTGAGTTCCAGCACCTCTTTTTCTAGAAAAAGAGCACTGTTACTGTTGTAGCAGGAAACCCCCCCCCCCATCATTCAGTTTGTACAAACTTCACACACACTCACACACTACATACGCTACACTTCTGTTATAAATTCATAAAAAATCAACCATACATCGGATTTGCACTGTTCCACTTTTATTTGACTCCATGAAGGAAGGACTACAAAATGGGGAAGGTTTGATACAGGCCAGCCATAATCCCTTCACCATCCCAGCACATCCACAGGAGCCCTGCCCAGTTGCTATGCCAACCCTGATGGTCCTAGACAGAAGACCATCAAGATCACAAAGAAATTGCATATGGGAGTGGATTCAGCATGGACTGAAACAAAGGACAATGATCAGATCTTCCCTCTGGGGGCAGGAAACTGCCAACTCCCCTTTGTCTCCTGGAAGTGACTCATGGGGAAGGGGAAAGGAGGAACCAGCCAGGTGACAGGACACTCAGGTTACCACCAACTCCTCCCTCAACCCCTCCTTTCTGTAATGTATGCATGATGTTTCTGGGGGTGGGCTTGACCTAGAGGATGGGAATTTCAAAAGTATTTATAAGGTCTTGCACACCATCTTTCTGGGTCTTTCCTCTCTCTTGCAAGTGAGGGGAACACCCTGTTGCAACAGTTCAATAAAGGCCAAGCCTACAGGCTGCTGTTTTGCTCCAAGTTATCCTGGTTGGTGTCTTTGTTTTGTCCAAGGGAGCCCTCGGATTTTTCCAGTAACACTGTAGATAAACTTTTTGCCTAAAGGTCACACAGTAAATTCATGCATTAGATGACTTCTGGGTTTTCCTAGTTCATATTCTCTTATCGGTTGCACCGCAGTCTCAGCCTCCAGCCTCATCAGCAAGGGAAAGTACACAAGCCTGTGTACCTCAAAGGGGTTTTCCACAAAAGCAGTGTGGCAGGAGGAGGGCTATTCACCCAGAGCAGTTTCTCGTGAGCATGGTCAGCCACAGCAGTGAGACAGCACAACAGAGAGGATGAATGACGCCAGCTTTGTGAATAGCAGCACAAGAGACGAGGACATTTATCCCGTTTAAGAATTGCTCTCTATAGCCTTTGAGGAAAACGATGCTATGAGAGCGCATGAGGCCAGGGAATGCTGGGTCTTTGGGGGAGAATGTTTTAAGAGAGAGAGAGCAAAGTAATGTCTGTGTGTGAATGTCTTGGGAAGAGAGAGAGAGGGAAAGGGAAAGAGATAAGAGATGCTTTTTTTTTTTTTTAGTGCATCTACAGAGGCTAATGTTTTAACAAAAATGTTAATAGGCAATAATCAATAGGATGAAACTTTTCCTCGCTGGGGAAAGCAGCCTCTGTTGCTTTCTGTGAGCTGCACTAGATACTGTCTCGGTAGACATGTGGCTTTTTAACACTTAGGAAGCAGCTAACAGTTTCTAAGTGCTGCACAGACATTAAAAGACAAGACAGTCAGGTGATGTGCTCTTTGTGGTGCTTAGTTAAACTTGTAAGAAGTTCCTCAGGAGGCTTAGTTAATCCTACACCATGTGCGAACAATTTTTGGGAACTCGGAAGCTTGTTTCTACTGAAAAATTTGATGCCTATATGAAAGAACTTGGTGTGGGCTTTGCCACCAGGAAGGTGGCTGCTGTTGCCAAGCCCAACGTGATCATCAGTTGCAACAGAGATGTTATAACCATCAAAACAGAGAGCAGTTTAAAGGTTTGATTTCCTTCAAACTGGGAGAACAGTTTGATGAGACCACAGCAGATGACAGGAAAGTAAAGAGTATTGTAAGATTAGACAATGGGTCGCTCAGTCAGTTACAGAAATGGGATGGCAAAGAGACCACAATAAAAAGAAAAATAGAAGATGGAAAGCTGGTTGTGGAGTGTGAAATGAACAACGTTATCTGCACCAGAGTGTATGAGAAAGCATGAAGATAGACCCCTGTGTGGTTAGTGGAACACAGAAGCAGGAGAGTTAGCGGGTTCAGGATACAGAGCCCCACAAGGCAGTTGCTTTCTCCAAAGAACTGGTATGCTATTGATAGAACCGTTCCAAAGAACCTGTATACAGTATTCAACCTAAAAGTATGCTGACTATTCAATAAAGTGCTTAATGATAAAAATAAAAAAAGACGAGACAGTCCCTGCTGCCCCTTGCTCACAGGCTCACCATTTAATACAAAGTGGCGGATGCAATGCAGAAGGAAAATAAAAACAAGCCCGTGAGCAGCTCCACCTTCACATTGGTCTCCTGCTTGCCATATGATGCAGTGCCTCAGTCTCCCAGGGTAACTTGCAGTCCATTGCTATTTACTCCAGTTCAGTGGTAAAATGTGGGGTTTCCCACGGAAAGCATTAGGGGAAGAAAACAAAAACCCCACTTGGACACAGAGCTTTAACATGCAGCCCTGTGCCAAGGTAACGTAGGAGAGGGGGCCCTGGAATAGGTTGATT